GTTGCACCAATCCAGAAAGGTAAGGCAGGGCTGTTTGCTTCCCCAGCTTTGAGCAGCTCGCCAGGTCCAGCGAGGAAGGCAGAAAAGGGCAGCAGCGGAGACAGCTGCGTGAACAGTTCGAGATCTGCCTGGAGGTGGGGAAAGAGCGGGGAGGGGATGGAGGTTATGGGTGGAAGGATGGCACTCTTATTGTTCACAGCACACGCATCAGCAGAGCTCCATGCGAGCGGGAATGTTTCCTCACCCATGCAGGAGGGAAAGTAAACAGGTCTTGGACATAAAGGGGTTGAGTATTACTGAGCACCAGCAGGACAAACAGCCCTCTGCCTTCAGGGTGTGCCTTTCTTTCTTGCTTATTCAGGTTATCTGTTGTGTAGAGAACAGGAGCTGAGATGGCTGGTTTTGCTGAGAACTGAGCTGTGATTGCAAGGAGTCAGATGTTTCCTGACACTTTGATGTCTAACAACTTGCTGCCGCTATAACCACGGGGCCATGAAGTTGGCTATCCTGTCTCCAAGGCTCACCAAACTCCAAACAAGGTGCAAAAAGCTGTGGCGTAGGTATCACAATGTGACATGGAACAGCAGGGAAGAAGAGGTCTCTTTTCTTCATCTCAGCCATGAAGCCCCAGGATTGTGGTTGGTGCTGGTTATTGGGGTTGACGTAGCCTCTGTTCTGACTCTGAGCAGCCTAAGCAAGGATGATGCTAAATACATGCATCTGGTAATTGCTGCCAATCAGCAGGTGACTCTTATCCTTTGTTCTTCTTTAAAAAATAAATCAAACCATAATTCTTTAAAAAAATCAAAAGGTTTATTTCCTTAGAGGCTGTTTGTCACACAGACTGCTAGAACAGTCATGGTGCTGAGGGGATGAAACGTGGTACAGATGAGACGTTTCGGTTAAATTTTATTTTGAACAAAGAACTTGTTGCTGGAAATCTTCACTAGCAGATCGATGGTTCAGAATCGGGAATTCTGATTTCTCAGACCTGCAGCAAAGAGCATCTGTCCTTATTTAAAAACTCAACATGTTTTCTGTGTGAGTACCTTGCCGTTTCTGCTGAGACAGCCGAGTAAATGTAAAAGCTGGTTGTGCTCCTATGGTGAATGTTTAGGTGATGGATCTTGTGAGTAGAGGGCATCTGCACATAATGCAAATGCATTTAAGTTTTTTTCTCCTCTGATAAATACTGAATTTTGATTGCTCATTAATGCGGAAACTTTCAAATTTTTGTTTCAAGCTACCAACTAATGGTCTTGTGGGAGTTTTGAATTGTTTATATCAAGGACAGGTGCATATGTAAGCTAAAAAAGAACAGAATTTTTAGTGTAAATATACCTCCCAGAGACCCTTCCGTGCTTGGTTACTACCAAGCTTTCTGATTCCTCATCAAGGACAGCCAAACAGGCTTCTGGATGCTGAAGGCTATTCTTCCTAGGCATTTGGCTAGACTGTTAATTAGAGCTCCACCGGGTTTCTGCTGATCCCTGCCTGTGCCTCATCTACTTGTCTTCTAATGAGCTTGTGGTCTATCTGGAAATCTTGCAGACAACTTGGGGCGGGGGGAAAGCAGTCTGTGTCAGTCATTTTCTCCTTCATTAGATAAATGTCTTCTACACAAAAACCTGAAATGCCTAATTATCTAAGGTTTGTGGTGTTTTAAACTGATCTAAGGGCAGCTGCTGTAAATGCTGAAGAAACTGAGCTCTGCTTTTGCAGTTTAT